GCTCTTCGGGTTCAGAGATTGTAGTTGAGGATTTAATTTTCAGGGTTCAGGGTTGAGCATTTAGGGCTTGATGCCGGCATTCGTGAAGCCCGGTTGTAAAAGACTATAGGGCTTAGGTATATTGGTTTCAGGTTCATGAGTTTCTCAGAGCTGGGGGTCTTTTGTTGCAGGCTCTTAATCCGACTACACTTGCATGGGGAGGTTATGTAGTGGGGTTTCTTTGCAGTCGTCGCGTCCGAACTCCCGAGGTGCAGGATTGAGGGTTACAGTGCTGGAGGATGAGGGTGTGGTTAGGGACGCCGTAGTACTGCGGCCACTTTTCAAAACTTCGGGTTCGGGGATTCAGGTAGGGTTCGTCTTGGTGAAGTCGCTGCAGGCCACTTGCAAAAGGTAGGTTTTTTGTATGTGAGGTTGCATCGCTTGAGGTGCACTCTGATATGAACCTGCAGCCCAAACCCTAAACTAAAACCCTGAACAAACTCCCAAACCCCTAGAAGCCTTACCCCCCTAAACCCTCTACACCCGTTTCGGGAGCTGCTGGACCAGTTTCCAGGCTCCGTGCTCTGGCGGGGCTTTGGCACTGGGGCCGCGGCAGCATCCGTTTGGCAAAGCACCAGGCCCCCATGGGCGGCACGTATGGTTCGGGGACCTAGCCGGGGGGAGTTTGGGGTAGCTGAAGGGGCTTAAGTTTGAGGTTTCGGCTTCACGGATTTACGTCGGTTCCGGGATTGGGGTTTAAGGGGGTGAGGCTTCAAAACGGCAGGGTAGGTTGGAGGTGGTACCTCTTGTTCCTGGTTCCGGTTTCGAGTGTCTACACTCTAGACTAAAGCATATCTACCCCAGCGAACAAGAAAGTAAGAGCCCTGTATAGTGTCAGCCGCTCAGGACTGCCTCTTCCTGCCTCAGCGGCCCTACATGAGCCTGGGCACTCTGCGGGACCAGTTGCTTTACCCCAACAGCCAGGCCGCCTGCTGCACTCCCGTAAAGCCTACACCGGCCAGGCCCTACAATTTAGAGCCTAAAACCGTGAACGAGGCCGGCGAGGGCTAAACCCTGCTCGGACACTATGCAGCCTACTGCCGTCGCTACCATGGCATACATCCAACATGTATTGCAGGCCCAATCCTTTCCCTCAACCTGCGTGAGGTGAGCATCGAGGATGACGCCCTGCGTGAGTTGCTTGGCACAATGAAGTGCTGAGTCTCTGCAACCAGCAGCTCCGGCCCTCCCAACATGCATGCATCTGCGTCATGCAAATACTCACTATGCAGTAGCCGTGTACTACATGTATTGCGTGTGTACGGGCTGTACATGCGTAAGTATGTCCGCAAGTCTGTCTGTCTGTCTGTTTGTCTGTCTGCCTCTTTGTTTGTCTATACGTATGTATGCCCGGGATTTCATGGGTACAAACAACTTGTACCCCGAACCTCGCCTGAACTTTCCGAGTCCGAGTGCTAAAATGTATGTAGTTATCGGTATGCCGTACAGTATGCACTACACACTATATGCTGTAGGTTATGAACTGCACGGTTTCAAATCTACTACGCTACACTGTTTTTTTTCTGTCCGTGCCAACCACTCCCAGCCCAGCCCAGTCACCGGGGCTGAAAAAGGCGGTTGTGGCTTGTTCGCCGCCGTTGTTTTCGCAACGGGTTGCAAAGATGATCGAACCCTTAACTCGCAGAATGCATAAGACTGACAACTTCCGGCAAACTGACATCATAGTACTCCTTTGTTGGGCCGGATCGCGGCATTTTGCGCTATCGCATGGCACACTGGTGATCGTAGCTGCCGCTGCCCGCTCAGAATCCTGACGCGCGTTGGCCTGCACAGCGTTCTGAAGCGTACCGGTGGGAACTTGGATTGGATGGACCTCATGGGACGGGATGGATTTTCAGCGTAAGCCTTAAACTCCAACCCTCAGCATTAACCGCTAAACAATAAATCCTGAACCCTACGTCAGGGGTTTCGCATTTCGGGAAGGATCTGGGGCTCCTAGTCGAGGGTCAGACAAAAAAGGGTCCTTCGTTTTCCACAAGCCCAAAGCCTTAAGATCCTGATGCTCATGTGGGCGGTTTTGGATGACAACGGTCACATTGGGTTTAGGGTTGCCAGAGGCCCCTCCCCAGACTCCGAAAGCTGTCGGCGCCGTTTGGTGACAGTAGCCACGAGGTCGATTGGTTTTGTTGGTTGGGGGAGTTAGGGGGAGGCAGGTCCCAGGGCACTCATGAGATGAAACTACTTAGGGTTTAGGGTTTAGGGTTAAGGGTTTAGGGGGGTTTAGGATTTAAGGTTTAGGGTTTAGGGTTACTACGAATGCGTAGTCCAGGTGTAAAAGGGTTACTACGAAACCCGAAACACTCATCCCGAATCCTCAGCTCCGGACCTGAGTTTCAAACATGGGGCTTTCATTGCTTGGGAAGGCTTGGGACGAAAGTTGACCAAGACGTTTGGGCATGACAAACGAAGCCCTAATTCTCCTTGGCTGGACAGAGCTCTGCTGCCAGGGAAGGTGTGTTTCTTTTCTGAGTTATGGCTTGTGTCCCGGGTCCGAAGGATCAGGATAAGCGACATGCAACTTTTGAAGACAAGGAACAGGAGCCTACTCTTCCCCAAACCACAGCTCAACACCCCAATGCCAACAACTTTGATCTCCAAGTCCAGAGCTTCGACTTATTTACAGCTTGAAATTAAGGCTTCTATATCCCTATCTCTATCACTGAAACTAAGGACTATCTCTTTCTCTATCACCTCTCTCTCTGTCTCTCTTTGTCACTCTCTGTCTCTCTCTGTCTCTCTCCTCTCTCATTGTCTCGATCTCCATCTCGATCTCTATCCCTATCCCTGTCCCTATCTCTATCCCTATCTCCATCTCTATCCCTGTCCCTATCCCCATCTCCATCTCTATCTCCATCTCTATCTCTCTCTGTCTCCCTCCTCCTCCCTGCCTCCATAGATACAAGCTGTATATATACATATATATGTATATGTACATATTTTTATATGATAGACTTATAGACAGATACATCAACGGCTAGCTAGCTTCCTGCATTTGTACAAGAAGTGTTTGTTGTGTACATATGTATGCACATACATACGCGCATACATACATACGCAAAAATGAATGAAGAAACAAGATTCCCCGGACCCTCAACCCTAAACCCGAAGCCACTTTGCAGACGCGAACTCATATGCCTCGCCTGGATTGTCCGAGTGTGAGCGCCGAAACCCGAAGCCCCCAGTCCCCGATTTGCAAGTCGGAACCCCTAAAAGCCTTTTTTCGGATCATAATGGTTGGGTGTAGGGTTTAATGATATAAGCTGGGTTCTTAAAGAACAAAGCCTCTCGTAGGACAGATGGGATGAACAGCTCAGCATCGGCGAGCAGCAGCGGCTCAGCGTGGCCCGCGTGTTAGTGCAAAAGCCGCTGTACGTCCTCGCAGATGAGGCCGGCCTTTAATTATATCGACCCAACATTATTCGTAGTACAGACTATTATTCGTAATAGTATAATAATAATAATAATAACGATTGATGTTATATGATTCATCTGCTGAGCCTCGTTGGTGCAATATTGGTCATGATTATCAGCCGGTACTACTTGTAGTATTCTTATTATATTTTCAATATTGTTTTCGTATGAGTGTTACCACTGTTCTTTTTCGAGGGGGGAGGTGGGGGGTGGGGGCGTGTTGGGCTTAGGGGCGTTTAAGGGTTCAGGGTTGTGGCGTACACAGTGTGAAGGTTTTGTCTGATGCTTACTCAGGTTGGGGGTGCTCGTGGCTATGGATAAAGCTTACACACTCCTGTGCTGGGAAGTTTGACGTCAGGGGTCATGGGCACACCCTAAGGCGGTTGGTTGTGTGGTTACTGGTTGGCTTTCCTCAACCTCGGAGTCAGAGACCAAGTTTCCTAGCACCGCTAGAACTGAACTTGTTTTCTGTCAGAGCCTTGAAACCAACATGCGTGATGCAATCCACGTGCAGAAGTCAGAGGGATCCAGCACAAAATGAAGGTCAGGGCCCTTAGCCATGCATGCGGCAGGTGACGTCCGCAAACGATCCGGCACACGCCACTCTGGCTCCCACTAACTAGGCATCAGGTTACGCAGGAACGGTTTAGGGGGGGTAGGAGCTTGGCGTTGGGGTCGAGGGTTTCGGGTTGCTCGTCGGTTCCTGGCATATGCGAAGTCCAGGTGTAAAAGGGGTCCTGAAGCACTTCAGGATGCAAAGACCGTGTTTGCCATAGTCTTCATGGTCACCGCTGAGTGTCGCGAAGTTCTGCTCCCGTCCTTGCAAACTATGCATCTTATTCTATTGGAGGAGTTTCAGGTTGTACTTACACTTGAAATCGTCAGTCAGCTTTGGCATCGTAAGATTTTGAACTGTAGCCAGTAGTGCTGCAGCTTGGCGCGATGCTGTTGTTGCGTGTCACCTTCCCCCGGCCGACTTCCCAAGCCCGGATGCAAAAGGTGAGGGTGACAGGTCGTGGTAGGGTTGTCAAAGCGATACTTCTCTTCACAGTTGCTCCACAAATTCTGTTTTTCGTACTGAAGTGCTGCACGTGTCGTATTGATGCTCATAGCCGTGTCGTTTTTCTGGTGCGGTTGATGATGATGACGGTGATGATGATGGCATCAATCAGGTTCAGTGTTGTCTATGTCTGCGCGGGTGGGGTGTGTGGGGCTCTTGTAGGACTTAATTCGGGTAGTTAGGCTTTCTAAGCACGACCACGGATGACCGCGAGTAAACGCTGCTCTTATGCTTCCTAGAGTGTTTCATCTTTATGTCACACAAAGGCAGTCGCCATGACTCTCAGGATCATTGCTTTCTGCCAAACCTTCAGCCTTATTGTTGCCTTCGTGCTCTAACACACCCCGACCCGACCAGAGGAAGAAATCGTCTACCGGTGCATCGTGTCGACCTGCAAGGTCGGGCCTGAGGATGTCTGAAGCAGAGGGTATACCGTCGACCCGGTTGCACTAAATACGAGCAAATAGAGATGCCAGTTTTAGCCGGAGCTGGCTTGGCGAATCCGGGCGTGAGTGCAGAAACCTCTCTTCACCCGGCAGTGTCTTTGCTCGAAGCTCCACGCTGCCTTGACCGCAACCACGCTGCAGCTATGATTGAAGTGGATGTCGGATCTCCTTTGGCCGAGGCAAGGATGTCCGTCTCAGAGGTGGAAGTTCACCAGGCACAGAAGGCGTGGTCGGATGCCATCGTGGACATCTCAAAGGTGTACCTTGAGAAGGGCGACTATGTCACCGCCGCCGCCAAAGCCGCCGGTGAGCTCTACGGTTACGGGCACTGTGATGTTCTCTTCAAGCCGACAAAGGCAAAGGATGTCCAGTTCCGGCCGATGGCATCCCAGGCTATGTCCTACTTTGTCGGCTGCAAGGCTGTGACTTTGCCATGGTTGAGCAGCTGTTGGTCAACAATTCTTACTATATTTAGGACACCATGAGGCCTGCTCCAGCTAGCCCTTGCTTCAAATTTGTAGGAGTTTCAACAAGAACGCAGGTGAATAATGGAATTGCGGAGGACGGTGGTTTTGCCATCAACGGCGGCAAGGGCTGGTCAAGCGTTGTGTTTGACAACCACCAGATTGATTTGAGTGGAAAGGTTGCCATCGCCATGGGAAACTATTACTTCACTAGCGCAGCAGATGGAAGCAAGACCAAAGTAGAGTACACGTTTGGATACAAGAAGAACTCCGATGGAAAGGTTCGCATCTTCCTCCACCACTCGTCCGTTCCATTTAGCCCCGACCCAGCTTCAGCAGCCTCAACCGGAGGCGCCACGGCCGTTTCTCAGGAGGAAGTGAGAGCCGCACAGGCAGCTTGGGCCAACGCCATCAAGACGATCTCCAAGACCTACTTAGATGGAGGTGACTATGTGGCAGTTGCGGGCAAGGCAGCAGGCGAGCTGTACGGGTACGGGCACACGAAGGTGCTCTTCAAGCCAACGAAGGCAAAGGATGTCCAGTTCCGACCCATGGCATCCCAGGCCATGTCCTACTTTGTGGGCTGCAAGGCTGTTGATGATGGAATCCCAGAAGATGGTGGCTTTGCCATCAACGGCGGCAAGGGCTGGTCAGATGTTGTATTCGACAACCACCAGATCGAGTTGAGTGCAGATACAGCGACGGCAATGGGGAACTACTATTTCACGAGTGCAGCAGATGGAAGCAAGGTCACCGTGGAGTACACATTTGGCTACAAGAAGAACGCCGATGGGAAGGTGCGCATCTTCCTCCACCACTCGTCCGTGCCATTCAGCCCGCCGGGAACCATCAAAGCTGCAGCAATTTCCGAGCAGGAGGTGAGAGCAGCGCAAGCCGCCTGGGCCAATGCCATCAAAACGATCTCCAAAACCTACTTAGATGGAGGTGACTATGTGGCAGTTGCGGGCAAGGCAGCAGGCGAGCTGTACGGGTACGGGCACACGAAGGTGCTCTTCAAGCCAACGAAGGCAAAGGATGTCCAGTTCCGACCCATGGCGTCCCAGGCCATGTCCTACTTTGTGGGCTGCAAGGCCGTGGCCGAGGGAATTCCAGAAGATGGTGGCTTCGCCATCAACGGCGGCAAAGGCTGGTCAGACGTTGTATTCGACAACAACGACATCGACGTGGATGGCAACTCAGCCATTGCAATGGGGAACTATTATTTCACTAGTGCAGCAGATGGAAGCAAGACCAAGGTGGAGTACACGTTTGGTTACAAGAAGAATTCAGATGGAAATGTGCGAATCTTCCTCCACCACTCGTCGGTGCCATTCAGCCCTGGCCCAGCCGCCCCAGCCGCAGCTGCACAAGTCGGGGCCGTTTCCGAGGAGGAGGTGAGAGCTGCACAGGCCGCTTGGGCCAATGCCATTAAGACGATCTCCAAGACCTACTTGAGTGGAGGGGACTATGTGGCAGCTGCAGGGAAGGCAGCAGGTGAGCTGTACGGTTATGGCCACACAAAGGTGCTCTTCAAGCCCACGAAGGCCAAGGATGTCCAGTTCCGGCCCATGGCGTCCCAGGCCATGTCCTACTTCGTGGGCTGCAAGGCTGTTGAGGATGGAATCCCAGAAGATGGCGGCTTCGCCATCAACGGCGGCAAAGGTTGGTCGGATGTTGTTTTCGACAACCACCAGATTGTCGCGGAGGGGAGCACTGCCACCGCCATGGGGAACTACGTCTTCACCAGTGCGGCAGATGGAAGCAAGACCACTGTGGAGTACACTTTTGGCTACAAGAAGAACGCCGATGGGAAGGTTCGCATCTTCCTCCACCACTCGTCGGTGCCATTCAGCCCTCCGCCCGCTGGCGCTGTCTCCAAGGAGGATGTGCTGAGTGTTCAGGCAGCTTGGGCCAATGCCATCAAGACCATCTCTAAGACCTACCTTGACAAGGGCGACTTTGTGGCGGTTGCTACCAAAGCAGCTGGCGAGCTGTATGGCTATGGTCACTCGAAGGTCCTGTTCAAGCCCACCAAGGCGGCAGAAGCACAGTTCCGTCCAACTGCCGAGGATGCGATGTCTTATTTCGTCGGAAGGAAGTCAGTTGAGAAAGGTCATTCTGAGGACGCTGGCTTCGCCATCAACGGCGGCAAGGGCTGGTCAGATGTCGTGTTCGACAACCACGAGATCGATGTGGAAGGCAACATTGCCCTCGCGATGGGGAATTACTATTTCACTAGCGCAGCAGATGGAAGCAAGACCAAGGTGGAGTACACTTTTGGCTACAAAAGGAACCCCGACGGCAAGGTGCGCATCTGCCTCCATCACTCGTCGGTTCCTTTCACGGCCTAAAAGTGAGAGCAACGTAGTCGACACTTTGCATTTTTTCACGCAGCCTGAGGCACTTTGCATTTTCTACACAGAGCCGTTCAGGCTCGCCTTTTGAAAAGGTTCTCGCTGAAGCAAAGCTGTTTCTTAATTCGGACATGAACTTTTAACTTTGGCCCTTCCGGGCACAGCAGCTCCACTGTGGAACTGTGCTCCAAGGCAGTCGGGCCTGTTATCGAGGGGTGTGGATTTGGCTTGTCTTGCACACGGCAAGCGCGGCCGTAGACCTTTATCATGCAAATCGAAGAAGCCAGTCGCGAAAAGACTTCATTTCTGTTCTTGGAGATATGGATGGTTCATGCTGAGTAATACTGTTCCATTGTTCCTTAAAGTTCCTTGGTGTTGTACCTATGCTATACTTGAAAAATCAGCCCTATACGCGCAAAACACCATTTTGAGTGTCACTGCCCTCATAGCAAATGCCAAAATCCTACGCCCGGAAGCTCCCCAGACCCGGCGGAGGCCTTCGTCTCGGTCGGCCACCGAAAGAGTTTGGAGGACTCCTTCGGTGTGAAAGGTTGCACGTGACGAGGTTCAGGGTTCGGTGGTTGGGGTTTGGAGAGTGTGGGGTTTAAGGCAGTTTCCGGTGTTAGTGAGGATGTTGAGGTCTGAGATTTGGGGTTTACGGTCCCTGGAACTGAGTGTAAGGGTTACACAAAACTGTGTGAGCATGAACCTCGCAGTGTCGCAATTCCGAGTCATCCACCCCGTTTCGCGTGGAAAATCTGGGCCTTGACCAAAAAGCGGCAGGCATTCCACCAGTGGAACCTTCGGCTGAAGGGTCCGGACGGAAGGTGGCTGCTGGAAAAAAGTTTCTGCAGAGATCCAGCACATGCAGCCTCACCGGCCTTGCTGAACCGCATCAAGGATTTGTTGCTTCGCCTCGACTTAGAATCCGCCCGTTGACCTCGAATGTGACGCCCAAATCTAGACCCAAGCCCGAAATCATCATCATGATCACCGACTGCTAGAGCGACACCGACCATGACGATTCTGCTGCCACGCCTACTGCTGCTGCTGTGACCGTTACTGCTACTGCAATTGCTGCTGCTGCTTCCTCCTACTCCTACTCTCCGAGTACGACTGCGACGACGACTACGACGACGACGACTACGACTACGACTATGACTATGACTATGACTGCGGGTACTGCTACGACTACGTCTTTGACTACGACTAACTACGATTGCGACTTCGACGACGACGACGACTACTACTGCTACTACTGCTACTACTACTACTACTGCTACTACTACTGCTACTACTACTGCTACAACTGCTACTGCACTTTTTCTGTGACGGGGGCGGTGACTGCGACTACAAACGACAACCGTCCACGATAAGTATCGGTGGTGCTGCTGGTGCGTCGTCGTCGTTGTGGTGATGGTAGCCCTTAGCAACAGCAATACCAAAGCTACTACCGCTGCAGATAGTGGTCATCCACGATGCCTGTCGCAACTGCCTGAAACCCTAGACCAGAAATCGGAAGCCTCAAGCGCCCGCTGTAACTCTTTGGCTATCACTGGTACCCTTTCTCGGCTCCAGCGGTCGGGCAAGAACGAGTGGCTGCTCAACCCAGCCTGGCGCTCGGCTCCAGCGGTTAATGGTTGTAGAACTAAGAGTGAGTACAGTACTACTACTGGTGCTTCTAGTACAAGCACCAGTCGCGGTGGTGGTGGTGGTAGTGGTGGTGGTGGTGGAGGTGGTAGTATATAGTCGTAGTGGTAGTAGTCGTCGTCGTCGTCGTCGTCGTCGTCGTCGTACTACAGCTACTACAACTACTACAACTACTGGTACTATCACTACAACTAGCATTATCATTAGTACTGTTGTACTCGTACTATCTCGTACTGGTAGGTGTACCTGTATTAGCGCGAGTCCTACTACACGGTGCCGGGAATCGAGGATCGGTATGATGTCATTTTGGTCCCCTCATCTGGGTCATCATGTCAACTTGGTCGTCTCTGTCGGGGAGTAAATGGTCAGGGCGGGAGTTGACATGACATCTTGCTCACCTTGCTCGGGGAGGCACTGGGGTGCGGCCAGGGGCCAGAGCTTCTACACGGAGGGATATTGGCAACCACGCGCTCAAGACTGGACGGCCAACCAGCAGAGCGTGGCTTTGATCAAGAACACGTACGATAGACAAGGGCGTGGCCAGGCCAAGGCAGGATTCTGGGATTATTTTTTTCCAAAGTATTTCCAATTTTACATTCAAATTTATTTCCAACCTTGGGTCTATTTCCAAGCAAATTTCCAATACTGGTTCCATTTTGTTTCTGGCTTCACGTCAAATTTATTTTCAATTCTGTTTCCAATTTCTGCGGTTCGGGCACTGATTTTGTAGGCAAGGCCAGAGGAAGAGCGGGGCCGGGGTTGGAATCGAGAATTTGGAGAGGCCTCGAGAAATGTTCAATATGTTTCTATTTTTGCTTTCAATTTTGTTTCCAATTTCTGCGGTTCGGGCACTGATTTGGTAGACAAGGCCAGGGGAAGAATGGGGCCGGGGTTGGAACATCGGGATTTTGGAGAGGCCCCGAAAAATATTCAATATTTTTCAAATTTGTTTCCGATTTCTGCGGTTCGGAAGAACGGGGCCGGGAGTGAAAAACGAGAATCTGGGGAGGCCTCGAGAAATATTCAATTTTCCAATTGTGTTTGCAACTCTGTTTCCAGTTTCTGGTTCGGGCACTGATTTTGTAGACAAGGCCAAAGGGAAGAAAGAAGGGCCGGGGTTGGAATTTGGGAGATTGGGGGGGTCTGGAGAAATATTCAAAATTTTTCCAATTTTGTTTTCAATTTTGTTTGCAATTTCTGCGGTTCGGGCCGGGATGTGGAAGGAACCGCCAGGGGACCCTGCAAGCCAATCCCGAACTCGTGTTGGAACCACCTTGTGGAAGCATTTTGGAAACTGAATTGAATCCTGCATCCCAACTGAATATGTTTTTGAACTTCCAACTACAAAATAATTACGACCTACAAGCTGGCCCTTTGCCTGGCGCCCATCACTAACGTACGACTTATCGGAAAAGATGGACGCGAACAAGGCGGGCGCCTGGCTGATGCAAACGGAGGACGACGCGATCGTTGACGAAGCGATGCGAATGGTCACCGAACGGTGGCAGGCGCAAGCAACCTACGTCAGGGTGCCTGGCGTGCTTTCGGGACAAGGTGGCGCCACTCGTGGGGTCAGATCCAGATGGGTTTTCCGCATCGGCAAAGTTCCTCCTGCTCTTGCAGCACGCGTGGAAACCAAGCTGGACCTGAGCCAGCGTGGTCTCAAAGACAAGGCGGGCGACAACGCCATTGTCATTCGAACGCGAGCAAGCTGGCCTGTCTGTGAAGAAGAATGGCACAACATCGTAAAATCTCCGGGCACTTGTGCGAGACGATGGGCATCATCGGTTGGTGATGGCGTCGCGCCGTTTGACTTACACGACACTTGGGGCTGGGAAGTCTGGGGACGCAAACAAGACGAAGTTCGCGGGCTGATGCGGGTGCAGAGCTTGAGCGTGGCACAAGCTCTGAAAAGCTCTTCTTAAACAGGGAGGACAGAACGTTGGTGGAGTCACCTTCTCTCCAGAAGCTCTGTCAGCTGTTGGTCGCATCACTCAAAGCCCTTTCTATTGGCTCCAATGGCATGACCAGGAGACAGGGGTGGAAGTGCCAGTTCTGTAACAAAGGCGTCGCCAAAAGCCAATGGGATCCTGCCTCGGGCACTGCACGTCGCCGGGCCAAGCTGGAGCACCGTGGAAGCGACCACAAGCACATTCCACGCGCCACTTGGATTAAGAGACAGCGGCCGGTGAATGGTGACCCGCTCAGACGGGCCAAGCGGAGAGCCCTGAATCTCAACCAATCCCTGGCCAAGGATGCCACTGCGTCGCCCACGATGGACCATTTGGAGCTGAGAAAGAAGCTCAAGGGCACTGGATCGCTCCTGAAAAGACTTTGAACCCATGGCTGAAGGAACTGAGCGCGCCTGGATTGGGCTTCCAGGGTTCAGACAATGAACCTGGGCAAGTCGGGTGGCTGCCACTGCGCAACTGGGACTGTAGGCCCGATGTTTGCTGCCTCCAAGAAGCTGACCTGTCCAAGGATAGTGCTCTGAGATTCATGCAATTTTGGAATTCTCAAGGATTGTGCACGCACCTGCCTGCTGGCGATAGCTTCGTTCGAGAGAAAGCGGAAAGGGAGCTGCAGGAGCACTAAAGCTGACGATACAGCCACCGGAGGCGCAGCGAGGAAAGTCTTTCTTGATGGAGGGGTTCTCAGGCTGCCAAGGGTGCTGATTTGTTTCAGCGAGGTGTTTTTGGGAAGGGTTTTCTTCGGGATTTAATGGTTCCGCAGGGGATGCTGCTTTTCTTTCCGCTGCCCCCCCCCCGGCGCAAGCTTCTGCAACGCGTGTTGTGCTTTCAAAGTGGTTGGGCGCTTCCCTGGAGCCTTTGACAAAATTCCAAGGCTCCAGGTAAGGCCTTCCGTGACTGGGTTGCCAGAATAGGACATGGTCTCGAGAGAGAGAGCGGTGCCAAGCATGGACCCAACGTGTGGTTCGTTGAATCCGTGAATTGGCATGAACTTGGAGTTGAGCGCCCAGCCTTGCACTGGATCCGAGCCCATACAGGCGAGGACGAAGAGTCTTACTGCACTCGCTCTCGCGGTACTGCAGACATGCATGGAGTTGTTGCAGGTCACAAACAGCTTGTGGTTCGCGTCGATCAACGGGACGCTCGTAATCAGCCCTCACTGAGCATGCGGACGGTACCTCCGAGCATTTTTCGCTGGTGGCAAATGATTGGCTCTCATCCCGCCATTCGTCGTAGGGCTGACGAGCCACCTAGCCAACAGCATGCTGCAGTTCAGCAGCGTGGCCTCTTCACAGCCATCCGTGACCTGGGCGCAGTTTCATCATGACGACGGGTTTCTCGACGATGTGTCGAGCAGGTTTGCCCGTCGGCTGCCGATGCTGGTTTGGAATGCTGCAGGATTTCGTCCCTTGCAGCTTCTGGCTCTGAAGCTTGTGTTTTGAGATTTCATTTGAGGCTCTGGGCCAGTAGGGTCGTTCTAACAGGTCCCAGCTGCTATCGACGGTGTTGTAGCCGGGTTGATTCGCCAACCGCGATGGACATTACAGCTTTGAGCATAGCTGGATTTCGGGTTTAGGGGTATGCGGGTCCGGCGTGTGCATCGGTTTAGGGTTGGCCAGTCGATCTCCTGCGTGTTTGCTGCTGGATGGTCCCCCGCAAGCGTGCGCAGAATTTTTTTTGGGCCAGTTTTGGCTGCTCATTTTCCCGATGGTCCCCCCCTCCGTCTGCTGCTGGTGTGGTCTCCTGGGGTGCGTGCGAGTGTTGCAATTTTAAGTGGTGCGTGGTGGTGGAGTGGTGCGAAAGTGAGAGTGCGACTGGCGCAAGTGAGAGTGCGTCTCTACATGACCAAGATGATGCGTCATCTTGCGCGCCCCCAGCACCCCCAAAAATCCTTGCCCAGACGATCAAAATGACGCGGCAGTTTGGCTACCGCAAACTATCTCCCAAGCAAAACGGTCAACCTGCCCACCTCTCTTTAGCAAATACTCCTGATCAAGATGACCAAGACTCAAGACAATGGGTCAACTTGCCCCTCCGTATTCTCGATTCCCGGAACACTGTACATACTAATTCGTACTACTGCTATACGAGTCCTATATACTACCGCGTACTTCTCCGCATTAATTCCGCATTCAATTAACAGGGGATTGAACATATGCAAATATCGATGACAGTTTTGGTCGGTTCTCGCCTAGTGCGTGTCCGAGTGCGGAGTGCGGAAGCTTCTCTTCATCCGGCAGTGTCTTTGCTCGAAGCTCCACGCTGCCTTGACCGCTTCCACGCCACAGCGAAGATGTCCGTCTCGCAGGTGGAAGTTCACCAGGCGCAGAAGGCGTGGTCGGATGCCATCGTGGGCATCTCAAAGGTGTACCTTGACAAGGGCGACTATGTCACCGCCGCCGCCAAAGCTGCCGGTGAGCTTTACGGTTACGGGCACTGTGATGTTCTCTTCAAGCCGACGAAGGCAAAGGATGTCCAGTTCCGGCCGATGGCATCCCAGGCCATGTCCTACTTCGTCGGCTGCAATGCTGTGACTTTGTGATGGTTGAGCAGCTGTTGGACAACAGTTCTGTCTTACTATAGTTAGGACACCATGAGGCTTGCTCCAGCTAGCTCTTGCTGTAGTTCAAATTTGTAGGAGTTTCAACAAGAACACAGGTGAACAATGGAATTGCGGAGGATGGTGGCTTTGCCATCAACGGTGGCCAGGGCTGGTCAAGCGTTGTTTTTGACAACCACCAGATTGATTTGAGTGGAACAGTTGCCATCGCCATGGGGAATTATTACTTCACTAGCGCAGCAGATGGAAGCAAGACCAAAGTGGAGTACACGTTTGGTTACAAGAAGAATTCCGATGGAAAGGTGCGCATCTTCCTCCACCACTCGTCCGTGCCTTTCAGCCCCGAACCAGCTTCAGCAGTCTCAAAAGGAGGCTCTGGGGCGGTTTCCGAGGAGGAGGTGAGAGCCGCGCAAGCCGCCTGGGCCAATGCCATCAAAACGATCTCCAAGACCTACTTGGATGGAGGTGACTATGTGGCAGTTGCGGGCAAGGCAGCAGGCGAGCTGTACGGCTACGGTCACACCAAGGTGCTCTTCAAGCCAACGAAGGCGAAGGATTTCCAGTTCCGACCCATGGCATCCCAGGCCATGTCCTACTTTGTGGGCTGCAAGGCTGTTGAGGATGGAATTCCAGAAGATGGTGGCTTTGCCATCAACGGCGGCAAGGGCTGGTCAGATGTTGTATTCGACAACCACCAGATCGAGTTGAGTGCAGATACAGCGACGGCAATGGGGAACTACTATTTCACGAGTGCAGCAGATGGAAGCAAGGTCACGGTGGAGTACACATTTGGCTACAAGAAGAACGCCGATGGGAAGGTGCGCATCTTCCTCCACCACTCGTCCGTGCCATTCAGCCCGCCGGGAACCATCAAAGCTGCAGCAATTTCCGAGCAGGAGGTGAGAGCCGCGCAAGCCGCCTGGGCCAATGCCATCAAAACGATCTCCAAGACCTACTTGGATGGAGGTGACTATGTGGCAGCTGCGGGCAAGGCAGCAGGCGAGCTGTACGGGTACGGGCACACGAAGGTGCTCTTCAAGCCAACGAAGGCAAAGGATGTCCAGTTCCGACCCATGGCGTCCCAGGCCATGTCCTACTTTGTGGGCTGCAAGGCCGTTGCCGAGGGAATTCCAGAAGATGGTGGCTTCGCCATCAACGGCGGCAAAGGCTGGTCAGACGTTGTATTCGACAACAACGACATCGACGTGGATGGCAACTCAGCCATTGCAATGGGGAACTATTATTTCACTAGTGCAGCAGATGGAAGCAAGACCAAGGTGGAGTACACGTTTGGTTACAAGAAGAACTCAGATGGAAATGTGCGAATCTTCCTCCACCACTCGTCGGTGCCATTCAGCCCTGGCCCAGCCGCCCCAGCCGCAGCTGCACAAGTCGGGGCCGTTTCCGAGGAGGAGGTGAGAGCTGCGCAGGCCGCTTGGGCCAACGCCATTAAGACGATCTCCAAGACCTACTTGAGTGGAGGGGATTATGTGGCAGCTGCGGGGAAGGCAGCAGGTGAGCTGTATGGTTATGGCCACACAAAGGTGCTCTTCAAGCCCACGAAGGCCAAGGATGTCCAGTTCCGGCCCATGGCATCCCAGGCCATGTCCTACTTCGTGGGCTGCAAGGCTGTCGAGGATGGAATTCCCGAAGATGGCGGCTTCGCCATCAACGGCGGCAAGGGTTGGTCGGATGTTGTTTTCGACAACCACCAGATTGTCGCGGAGGGGAGCACTGCCACCGCCATGGGGAACTACGTCTTCACCAGTGCGGCAGATGGAAGCAAGACCACTGTGGAGTACACTTTTGGCTACAAGAAGAACGCCGATGGGAAGGTTCGCATCTTCCTCCACCACTCGTCGGTGCCATTCAGCCCTCCGCCCGCTGGCGCTGTCTCCAAGGAGGATGTGCTGAGTGTTCAGGCAGCTTGGGCCAATGCCATCAAGACCATCTCTAAGACCTACCTTGACAAGGGCGACTTTGTGGCGGTTGCTACCAAAGCAGCTGGCGAGCTGTATGGCTATGGTCACTCGAAGGTCCTGTTCAAGCCCACCAAGGCGGCAGAAGCACAGTTCCGTCCAACTGCCGAGGATGCGATGTCTTATTTCGTCGGAAGGAAGTCAGTTGAGAAAGGTCATTCTGAGGACGCTGGCTTCGCCATCAACGGCGGCAAGGGCTGGTCAGATGTCGTGTTCGACAACCACGAGATCGATGTGGAAGGCAACATTGCCCTCGCGATGGGGAATTACTATTTCACTAGCGCAGCAGATGGAAGCAAGACCAAGGTGGAGTACACTTTTGGCTACAAAAGGAACCCCGACGGCAAGGTGCGCATCTGCCTCCATCACTCGTCGGTTCCTTTCAAGGCCTAGAGGTGAGAGCAACGTAGTCGACACTTTGCATTTTTTCACGCAGCCTGAGGCACTTTGCATTTTCTACACAGAGCCGTTCAGGCTCGCCTTTTGAAAGGGTTCTCGCTGAAGCAAAGCTGTTTCTTAATTCGGACATGAACTTTTAACTTTGGCCCTTCCGGGCACAGCAGCTCCACTGTGGAACTGTGCTCCAAGGCAGTCGGGCCTGTTATCGAGGGGTGTGGATTTGGCTTGTCTTGCACACGGCAAGCGCGGCCGTAGACCTTATGAAATTCAACATTACAGAAGTTCTATCCGAAAAGTCTTCATGCCTGCTATTGACAACCTGTCGGCACCGGGTTTCAGAGCTGACCGGGCCCCAACGTGAAATTAACGAGTTTAGTCTCCAAATAGCATGGTTGTCGGCTGGGCTGTGCCGAGGGTGTCGAGGAAGCTACCCTGAACCCCAAACTAGATGCCAAACGCCTGACCCCGGAACTCCCAGACTTGCAGCGGATTTCGTCTGAACCCTCCAGACAGTTTTCAGGCTTTCGTCTCGGTCGGCCACCGCCAGAGTCTGGAGGACGTCTTGCTGTGAAGGGTTGCGAGTTTAAGGGTTTCACAAGGTTTTGACGTTTCGGGTTTAGCAGGTGTTAGCAAGGTTGTTGAAGTTTGGGGTTGAGGGGTTGAGGGGTTTAAGTTGAAAGCATTTGAGACTATGTGTTTACGGGTTGCATGGCCGAACCGATGTGAGTAGGAAGCTCACGGTGGAGTGCCTGCATAAGAAGCCTGGTTCAGGGTTTAGGGCGGGGCTTTTGGAGCGTAGAGGCTCAGGCCAGGGGGTGGTGTTCAGCTTTGAAAGGCTTGTGGAATTGAAGCCTCTTCGAAAGCCGCAAATCGTAGACCCATTGGTCAGCCCGATTGAGGACCCTTCGCACCGCCCTGTGTGCTTTGGGCCTGCTTAGACCTTCACCAAAGCGCGGCAAGGAGTTCACAGTGGAATCTTCGGCTGAAGGGTCCCGACGGAAAGGCTTGCTGGACAAAAGAGTATGCCAGAGATCCGGCAGCAAAAACCCTGAAGCCACAAAATCACATCCTAGAACCCAAAATCCTAAATTCCCATAGCGAACGCTGAAACCTTGAAGGCTTTAGCCTTAGGCTCTAAGTCCCAAGACTTAATAGGAGCTTTCAACTCTAAAATCCTTGACCCTGAAATCCGAAAACGACTGCCTTTGCCTTGCTGACTGGGTTTGGGTTGATTAATGTAGAAGCCAGAACAACCAGCATTGTCACCCTTTAGGTTTCTTGTTATTTTTATAGCAGAGCGTACACCCGTATTCAAAGTACAAAGCTTTCTGTATTAGGCTTGGGGTTTTGCAAGTCCCCGCAAAACACTCCTCCAGCTCCTACTCCTCCTAGTCCTGAACCAGCAACACCAGCAAAATCAACAAAATCAGCAAAACCAGCAACTCCAGCAACATCAGCAAACCAGCAAAACCAGCAAAACCAGCAGCAGCAGACGACCACAACCACCACCACCGCCACCACCGCCGCCACCACCGCCACCACCAACACCACCAACACCACCAACACCACCACCACCAACAACAACTTTATCGCGCTCGGCCATCTGGGTCTGGGGATATGCGAATATCGATGCCAGTTTTGGTCAGTTTAGTCTAGCCAGTCCGAGTGTGAGTGCGCAAGCTTGTCTTCATCCGGCAGTGTCTTTGCTCGAAGCTCCACGCTGCCTTCCACGCTGCAACAAAGATGTCCGTCTCGCAGGTGGAAGTTCACCAGGCGCAGAAGGCATGGTCGGATGCCATCGTGGGCATCTCAAAGGTGTACCTTGAGAAGGGCGACTATGTCACCGCCGCCACCAAGGCCGCCGGTGAGCTTTACGGTTACGGGCACTGTGATGTTCTCTTCAAGCCGACGAAGGCAAAGGATGTCCAGTTCCGGCCGATGGCATCCCAGGCCATGTCCTACTTCGTCGGCTGCAATGCTGTGACTGGGCTGTGGTTCAGAGGCTTGAAAAAGGCTTTCCTCTTAAGGAAAATTCTGCCAGTACAGCTAGCTCTTGATGTAGCTTAACTGTAAGCGTTGGTACCAAGAACACAGGTGAAAAATGGAATTGCAGAGGATGGTGGTTTTGCCATCAACGGCGGCAAGGGCTGGTCAAGCGTTGTTTTTGACAACCACCAGATTGATTTGAGTGGAAATGTTGCCATCGCAATGGGGAACTATTACTTCACTAGCGCAGCAGATGGAAGCAAGACGAAAGTGGAGTACACGTTTGGTTACAAGAAGAATTCCGATGGAAAGGTGCGCATCTTCCTCCACCACTCGTCGGTGCCATTTAGCGCCGGCACCGCAAGCGGAGGTGCCGCCGCAGTCTCCGAAGAGGATGTGAGAGCCGCGCAGGCAGCTTGGGCCAACGCCATCAAAACGATTTCGAGGACCTACTTGGATGGAGGGGACTATGTGGCAGCTGCGGGGAAGGCAGCAGGTGAGCTGTATGGCTACGGTCACACAAATGTGCTTTTCAAGCCAACGAAGGCAAAGGATTTCCAGTTCCGACCCCTGGCATCCCAGGCCATGTCCTACTTCGTGGGCTGCAAGGCCGTTGAGGATGGAATTCCAGAAGATGGTGGCTTCGCCATCAACGGCGGCAAAGGCTGGTCAGATGTTGTCTTCGACAACCACCAGATCGAGTTGAGTGCAGATACAGCGACGGCAATGGGGAACTACTATTTCACGAGTGCAGCAGATGGAAGCAAGGTCACGGTGGAGTACACGTTTGGTTACAAGAAGAACGCCGATGGGAAGGTGCGCATCTTCCTCCACCACTCGTCCGTGCCATTCAGCCCTCCACCGGGAACAAGCAAGGTTGCCGCAACAATTTCCGAGGAGGAGGTGAGAGCCGCGCAGGCCGCTTGGGCCAACGCCATTAAAACGATCTCCAAAACCTACCTGGATGGAGGTGACTATGTGGCAGTTGCGGGCAAGGCAGCAGGCGAGCTGTACGGGTACGGGCACACGAAGGTGCTCTTCAAGCCAACGAAGGCAAAGGATGTCCAGTTCCGACCCATGGCGTCCCAGGCCATGTCCTACTTTGTGGGCTGCAAGGCCGTTGCTGAGGGAATTCCAGAAGATGGTGGCTTTGCCATCAACGGCGGCAAGGGCTGGTCAGACGTTGTCTTCGACAATAACGACATCGACGTGGATGGCAACTCAGCCATTGCAATGGGGAATTATTATTTCACTAGCGCAGCGGATGGAAGCAAGACCAAGGTGGAGTACACGTTTGGCTACAAGAAGAACGCCGATGGAAATGTGCGCATCTTCCTCCACCACTCGTCCGTGCCATTCAGCCCTGGCCCAGCCGCCCCAGCGGCCCCAGCCGCCCCACCTGCACAAGCCACAGCGATTTCTGAGGAGGAGGTGAGAGGCGCGCAGCGGGCTTGGGCCAAAGCCATCAAAACGATCTCGAAGATCTACTTGAGTGGAGGTGACTATGTGGAGGCTGCGGGGAAGGCAGCAGGCGAGCTGTACGGGTACGGGCACACGAAGGTGCTCTTCAAGCCAACGAAGGCAAAGGATGTCCAGTTCCGGCCCATGGCATCCCAGGCCATGTCCTACTTTGTGGGCTGCAAGGCCGTTGAGGATGGAATTCCAGAAGATGGTGGCTTCGCCATCAACGGCGGCAAGGGTTGGTCGGATGTTTTGTTCGACAATCACCAGATCGTCGTGGACGGCACCACCGCGACTGCAATGGGGAACTACGTCTTCATCAGTGCTGCAGACGGAAGCAAGACCAAAGTGGAGTACACGTTCGGCTATAAGAAGAACGACGATGGAAATGTGCGCATCTTCCTCCACCACTCGTCAGTACCATTCAGCCCTACTCCCGACACCCGCCCTGTCTCCAAGGAGGATGTGCTCAGTGCGCAGGCAGCTTGGGCCAATGCCATTAAGACAATCTCTAAGACCTACCTTGACAAGGGCGACTTTGTGGCGGTTGCTACCAAAGCAGCTGGCGAGCTGTATGGCTATGGTCACTCGAAGGTCCTGTTCAAGCCCACCAAGGCGGCAGAAGCACAGTTCCGTCCGACTGCCGAGGATGCGATGTCTTATTTCGTCGGAAGGAAGTCAGTTGAGAAAGGTCATTCTGAGGACGCTGGCTTCGCCATCAACGGCGGCAAGGGCTGGTCAGATGTCGTGTTCGACAACCACGAGATCGATATGGACGGCAACATGGCCCTCGCGATGGGGAACTATTATTTCACTAGCGCAGCGGATGGGAGCAAGACGAAGGTGGAGTACACGTTTGGCTACAGGAGGAACCCCGACGGCAAGGTGCGCATCTGCCTCCATCACTCGTCGGTTCCTTTCACGGCCTAAAAGTGAGAGCAACGTAGTCGACACTTTGCATTTTTTCACGCAGCCTGAGGCACTTTGCATTTTCTACACAGAGCCGTTCAGGCTCGCCTTTTGAAAGGGTTCTCGCTGAAGCAAAGCTGTTTCTTAATTCGGACATGAACTTTTAACTTTGGCCCTTCCGGGCACAGCAGCTCCACTGTGGAACTGTGCTCCAAGGCAGTCGGGCCTGTTATCGAGGGGTGTGGATTTGGCTTGTCTTGCACACGGCAAGCGCGGCCGTAGACCTTATGAAATTCAACGCTACAGAAGTTCTATCCGAAAAGTCTTCATGCCTGTTGCTGTGCCATAGGCAACCAGTCGGCACTGAGTTGGGCAGCTGTGTAGTCCTTCAGTGATTGTGAGCGGACGTTAAAGTGCCATTGACAAGCTTGATCTCCAAGTTCAGCTGTCTGGTATTGTTGTCGTCTGGTCTAAGACGCTCAAGAGCGGTAAACTCCAAGCCAGGAACCCTCAGTGTGAGGGCCGAAACGTAAGTCCCGCAGCTCTTTGGCTATCAGGGGGACCTGTCTCAGCTTCAGCAGGCGAAAGAGAGCGAATGGCTGCCCCCAACAGCGAAACACAGCCTGGCACTCGGCAAT